TCCTCATAGGACCCCAAGCTTGTAATGGAATACATAGGAAATCAAGTTCATTAGTTTACTGCCTGTGAAATAACTTGTGTAGCAGGGAGTGTTTTTAATTTAATGCTTATGTTTCTGACTTGAGAATAGCTAATGTCAGGAGATGTTTGCTTGCCAGCTTCCTTTTCAGAGCTTTTCTTTTTGAAGTTTTGTTTTGAAACTGAGAAAATGTATTCTAAAAAAGAGAATATATTACAAAGAGCTGTTTTCTGTTTCACTGAGCTGGCGGTAAGCCATCTAGTTTTCATATTTCTAGGTGCTTTGTGCTAGAAGTGGGATGAATGGCTAGCTTTTTGATAACTACAGATGGTTAAACTCCAATCTAAGTTACACACAAGAAAAAGTTTTTTTGGAGTGTTTTACATGTGAAATAAAATAAAAATAAGGCATGAGACCTGAAACAGGTTTGAATATGAACGTTCTGTAAAATGGACCTTACCTCTTGAAACGTGTGCTGGATTTAGTTGTAAGCAGGAATTCGGCACAAACTGAACCTCCTGTGGTGTCTCTGCTTCCTTTCTATTCTTATTGACTTATTGCCAGGGCTGCTGAATACACAAACTTTTTATCACCAGTTTTCATAACTCTAGTCAAAATATTTAACCAAACTTTTTTTGTAAGCCACATGTTTTAATTTCAGCCTATAAAGCTTTGTTAATTTGTGGTAATTACAGGATTAGTCGATAGTACTTAAACTCACATGTAACAAAATGAAATCCTGTGTGTCGGTTTGTTTAACGTGCTGCAACATGAAAGAATAAACTGAAATCTAAGGTAAATCAGATGTTTTCATGTAAATGTCCACCTGATTTCTGGCCAATAAAATAGCCAGAAAAGTTGCAGATTCTGGCTCTGTCAGTTTTAGCAGACCTTGTAGCACTGATGCCTTCATGTGTTTCTTACAAGAACACAAATGCCACGCAGCTTTGGTGAAATTTTTGTTAATGCACTGCTGAAATTCACTCTCTTCAACCATACTGGTAATGTGGCTTCAGAAATGTTAGTCAGTGTGGTATAACTTACCAAACTCCTTGCAAAAACTCCTCAAGATCTTACAAGTAATCTGTAACAGCATGCCTGTGTGACTTCAAAATCACTACAGGATAATGGTTTTGCTTACTTTCATACAAATATATAATCTTGTCTCTATTTTTTCAGGCGTGCTTGGCAGTGATGATGGACTATTTATTTGCAACGGACACTCTTCTATGAAAAGATCACAGTTCCAAAGAGCTTGAGCATTATTTCATCTTCTGAAACAGAATGGCAGGCTTCAAACGAGGATACGATGGAAAAATTGCAGGATTGTATGACTTGGATAAGACTTTGGGCAGAGGACATTTTGCTGTGGTCAAACTTGCTCGACATGTCTTTACAGGTGAAAAAGTAGCAGTAAAAGTAATTGACAAGACCAAACTGGATACTCTAGCTACTGGACATCTTTTTCAAGAAGTTAGATGCATGAAACTAGTGCAGCATCCCAATATTGTACGGCTGTATGAAGTGATTGACACCCAGACTAAGCTTTACCTCATCTTAGAACTAGGTGATGGAGGGGATATGTTTGATTACATTATGAAGCACGAAGAAGGTCTGAATGAGGATCTGGCAAAAAAGTACTTTGCTCAAATAGTCCACGCTATATCATACTGCCACAAACTGCATGTAGTTCACAGAGACTTAAAGCCAGAGAACGTGGTCTTCTTTGAAAAACAAGGACTTGTGAAATTAACTGATTTTGGCTTCAGCAACAAATTTCAGCCTGGAAAAAAACTCACCACGAGCTGTGGATCTCTCGCATATTCTGCTCCTGAAATTTTACTTGGGGATGAATATGATGCACCAGCAGTGGGTACGTCCTCTTTGAATTCTACAACTGATCTCAATGTGAAGCACCATGATGTTGTACCACTCTGTTTTCTGTTTCAAGATAATGCTATATGTGGAAGCCAGCTAATTGGCAGGAAATGTTATCGTGCTGCTAAAGTTGCAGATAACTTAGCATTGGAGCATCTCTATCTGAAAAAGTTATTGAAATTCTTTTAACGTGTGTGTGTTGTTAAAAACAAACAAACAAACAACACCAAACTTTAACATTAATAGTAAGGTGAATGCAGTATATTGATGCAAACATACATTTGAACTTGCTTTGTTCAAGGACATTACCTCCTTTTCAGGAAAGTACCTGTTCTTAATTTCTTTTGTTTTAATCCCCCAAAGCTATTGATTATTTCTTGTTTAGTTTAGCCATCTGAGAATGACCCTGTGAGTCCATGCTACTTAGGTGTTCTGCTGTTAGGTGGTAGGAATCCATTTTAGTATGTATGTACTTAGCTTGCAAATGAAACAAAAAATTAAGAGCAGCATTAACTCTTTATTACCTCTCTGCTCTTTTCTTGTCTGAGAACTGAAAGTAGGGAGTAAGTTTCCAGTTGATTCCCATTCTAAAAGATGAGTATTAGCCATGTGTAAGTTGGTCTTCATGTTGCACCTGGCTGGCTCAGTGTGCTAGACTAATAAGGGAATTGTCTTACTATTCTTTTAGGCCTCTTGCATGTGCTATTAGAAGTAGGTTTGTTTTTTTTTAAATATAGACAATAGCAAATACTGTCATGTGGCCATATCTGTTAGCTGAAGTAGCATTAACCACATTAACCACACATTCAGGTACATAACATTTCCAATGACTTACAGTAGTTGCAATATTTCTTGTCCTTGTGTGCCTGTTATGTGATGCTTCTAGTCTCTTTAATACTGGTGAGGGTTGGGTACACCACTGTGGCTGTATTTTGCTGTGCTTAACGTGTGGTGGTTTAAATTTTGAGACTTTCAACATGTCCAAGTCTTGCTAAGCTACCTGATGAAGGGTAAGATATTCTTATAGCGTGACAAGATATTTCTGCACACTGTTGAACTACTATTCTTGCCTTTTTAAAAATATAAATGATTAGCTCTTTTTTTCTAAAGAGGAAGGGATAAATTGGACTGTGCAACCAGCAGGTGGGAACAGTGAGGACGGGGACTTGAGAGGAATGGGAGTTATAAGATATGCTTGTGGTTCTTGAAGGTCTGAACATCGGAGATGCTGCCTTTAAGTGGTCATCTCCAGGTTTCTGTTTGTGGCCTTAAGACTCTTCTTGCTGCGTTTCATATTCTGTGATAAGTAGTTGTTTTTCTTACTGCAGTTTAAAACTTTGAAAAGTAGTGAATAAACAGTAACTGCAGTGGTGCTTCTTGGTGGCTGTACTTCACTCAGCATTAGAAGCAGACTTAAGCTTTGTTGGAATGTAAGCTAGCGCAGTACAAATATTACATGCAACTCTTGTGAGGGTCACTTCTACAAATGTCACAGTGTAAATTCTGTGCAATGCTGTATTTTAGGACATTGCTAGAAATGGAGAAACACTGTTTGTCTGAGAGTCATCTTGTTGGGACTCGGCCTTGAAAGATGCCTTTCTATGTCTTGGAGAGTTTAAATCTGCCTTGAGTCCAAAAGCTTTGACCAGATAGTCTGAATTAAATGATATGTTAATAAAGCACACTTTGACCTCTTATTGTTTCAGTGTAAGAATGGTGACATCACAGAAAACAGTTCTTACAGTAATTTATAAGCAGTTTGATCAAATGATAGCAGCAGAAGAAAATGATTGAATTGATTCATAGAGGAGGAGGTGTCTAGCAGTCTGACTTACTGTGCATTGTTGTGAACAGCAGAAAAACTTAGCTGAAAATGAACTTCTTCTAGAGTAATTTAAGGGTGCTAGTTAATCTGTATGTCCCAGGATATTTAAATACATGCAGTGGTCAGTTTTTGCTTGTTCCCCAGTGTGCAATGCCAGTTACTGGATCCTCTAAACTTGTCAGCAAATTGCAGGGCTTCTATTCTAACTTCTTTAGTGACAAAACCAAAGCACTGTACTACTTGCATTTATCTGACGTTGTCATATTTTAAAAAAAAAAAACTCAGTGCATGGGTTTTGTTGTGAGGCTAGTGACAAAATGGCATGTCCGATGTCTTAATCATATTAGAAAGACTGTAAGGGAAAATACCATTTATGTTTTGTTGCTGCAAAGGGCTGAAATATTCAGGGCAAGCCTTTTAGTAAGTTACATGCTTTAAAATTATGGAAGAGCTTGCTTTATGAAATGTAACTGTTTCAGCTAGCTTAGAGATTAATCTGTCCTTTGTGATGCTACTTAAAAGCTTTCACACTTGAAAAGAGACTACCTAATTTAGGTCTGTCATTTCCTTTTGTGTTGAAGGCCGTAGTTAAAATGATGCAAGAAGAGCATTAGACAACGATCATATGTTCTCAGGGCTTTTCAGAACCTGAGTTAGGTAATGGAAGTTCTGTTGCTTGGAGTTCTCCGTGTTCTCACAACTTAAAATTTTGTTCTGGTCAGACTGTGAGACTGGGGCTGTTTATTTAGCATTATTGAGCACAGGCCTCTGAAATGGTACTGTGATACACAAATAATGGTGATAAATTAGAGATGGGGCCTCCAGTGTAGCAGTCTGTCCTCGCAGCAGTGCAAAGGGAATGGTGGGAGCTGCTCATGAAGACATGACTAAGGATATTACTGTTACTCAAACTCAGTGCTGTTTGACCGGCAGCTTCGAGTCCGAATCCATTTTGCTGCCTTCTGTCAAGTTGCAGGAGCCAGCTGTGTTGCTTTCAGACCCACTTTGTCACTGCTGGAGGGATCTTGGGCTCTTCTGCTTTTTGCTTTTTTTTTTTTCTGCATCAAGGATTTGCAAGGGCTTTATTTTATTTGCATTTGGTGCTGCTGGAGTGGGTGGCCATTCAAAGCTTCAGCCAGGTTTGCCCTGTGTTTGAGCACTGCTGAGCATGCAGCTGACCTTATCTGACCTGCACGAAGCTCGTTCTGACGTTTCTGCCTGCATACAGCACTTTATTCACCATGTAAATGACTGATGTAAGCATCGTGGCCAGTGGGTATTTACAGTGACCTTTTACCTTATGAGAATGCTGAATATAAGATTTGACAGGCTTGGCTAAAGGGGAAAAAAATAGTATGATGTTTGTAAGCCCTATATGGTGTTGAATTACCTTTTGAATTCTAGTAGGTTCAAAATTGGATTGCAGCCAAACACGATAGAAGTAAAACAGAGGTGAGGCAAATAATCCTTCAGCAGTTTTTTAATGACTGTTTTCTTTTCCAAAACTCCTTTTTTAATGTTACACTGCATCACTTTTGGGCAGTTGGGTGTATTACATGGTGAGTCTGAAGATTTGAGGGTGCAGAAAGCTAAAATAGCACTGTACGTAGCTGCTTCCAGCGTGTGGTTTTGCCCTTCCATTTTGCTTGCATCAGTGCAGAGCTACCCCCTTCTTGTGTGCTACACTCTGTTGCGTGGCTGCCTATTTGATGAGCTGATCTGATGAGTTAATTTGACAGAAGGCTATTAATTTTTCTACAGGCTTAACTTCTGCCAGGTTAGCAAACAGAGCTGTTTGCTCACTTAGTTTTGAGCTGGTGCTAAGGAAGTGATGGGAGCTTGCGGCTTGCACCAGTGTTCTGGGGGCAGGTGATAAGATGCACCCTTTTTTGCAAGAGGCAGCTCAGGTTAGAACGGCTCAGCCTGGCCCGTTTGTCTTCACCTTCCATGCGAGAGAAGCTCATTTGGCTGAAAATGACAGTCATTCATCAAGTGGCATTAACAAAGAATATTGTATGGTCTGTGCCAGTATCCAAGTGAAAATACAGAGGGCAAGCTGTTGGGGTAGACTTTGGTTACTAACCTATCTACTAAACCCTAACTTGAGTACAGAGATGCCTTTAGCATCCAGCCATGTTCACATGTGAACTGTTTTCACTATATTTCAAACTGCTGTGGAGAAAGTATTTATCATAATGGAATCCACGCGCATGGGATAAGAAGCTTCACTTTGTGTGCCTTACAAACAACTACTCCAATTACTTACATTCAGCCATCAACTAATTTGGTAACACAGATCTGGCGGACCTAAATAGATAGTTTTGGAAATGTGGCTAAGCAACAGAAACCAAAAGAGAAAGAATGCATTTCTAAGTGCAGGATTGACAGGTCAGAGTAAAGAAGACTATTCTAGATTGAGGGCAGTGTTCAGTAAAAGTTGAAGGTGTGGGTTTTCTTGATTTGTTCATGAAGAGCGTCAACAGTTTGTCTATAATAGTTTCATGCAATCAGCAAAAGCCAGGCAATTATCTTGAGGGGAAAAGTAAGCAATAGTTGCCAAACTGAATGAAAATAGAAATGCTTTCCAAAGATAAGAATAGTTGCTGATGAGCATGTCTTAGTCAAATAAAGGAACATATAGAACAGACTGTTTCATCAGACAGATAAACTAATTATGAAAATAATTTGCTAAATGCCATTTGCTATTTTGCTCTTTTTTTTTTAAGAGATAGGGGAAGGAAGAGATTTCTCTTAATTCTCTTGTCTGTGTGTTCTAATAGTCATTTTAATTGGATTTGCAGAGCTTTAAAGCAAGAACAGCCAGTCCTGCGTGTAAATTCTGATGGTGTTGTCATTGATTGCAAAAGATCTCTGCCTCAGTCTTCTGCAAGGGAGAAGTGAATCCCATTTTACAAAAACTTTAGAAATGTTGTCACCAGACAGCAGCATCTCTGGCAAGTGGAGATGTCTGTATGCAAGCTTACTGGAGGTCATGGGATGCTAAAGAACAGAAAAAGGGTTCAATCACTCAAAGATCACATTTTTGGCAGCAATTCTATTTTGTTCTTTACCCATGCTCTTCAGATTTACAGCTGGCCCAGAGTCGTCATCATCATCCAGGCTCGTCAGCAGTGTGCATATAGTAGTGTACAACTACCTGTGATGCATACAAACATTGATACTGCTAACACAAGGTTACTCTATACTGTCTTGTTTCTGTTTTTTTTTTTTCAATGCCAGGGATGGCATCTTCTATGCTTCTTGTCTGCAGAGGGTCGGTGTCCTTATCTTCTGAAGCACAAACATATCACCAATGTAACACGCCCCCCTGAAGCACTGATCAGAATGAGACCAGCTTTTCTTTTTTACTGTGGTTACGTAGGTTTTCATTAAGTGCATAAAAATCTTCCTGCAGTGTTTTCATACGGATTTGTACTCAAGCTGTGTTCTGGCTCTTCAAACAGTTGTGTGAAGTTTTCTACAAATTGGAGTTTTCATTGTTTTCCATAGTCTGTGCTGTGAAGAAAACATATGAACTAGTAGCAAGCATCCTCGTCACTGGTACCGTTGTGAATTATGAGCCTGGACTTTACTCCTGAACCCAGGCCAAGTTCCACTCCTAAATTCCTGTCCGAATGAAGTAGTTCAGGATGGGTGTTTGTGCCTACCTTGGAACAGCCTTGAGATACTGCTCAGTTGCTGCCTTCAAGAATGCAAAGACGTGGGTGATGTTTACATTAAAATTTCCACATTTAGCTCTGCACAGAAGAACTTGATGTTGAAAGAGACTCAGTGTTCAGCATTCAGGCCTCATCTTCAGGAGGTCCCCTTGAAATCTGCTTTCTTCACAGTGCTCTGAAGAGGCTGTGGCAATGACATTCTCTTTAATATCTTAACACAGTGATTGGAATAATTGCCCGCGATGCTGCCAGTCGGGGTCCATTTCCATCCTTCATTGATCCCATCTGTAGGTACCTTTGCAGTGGTAAAAACAAACATGTACACATTCTTATCTCCATATAAGTTGATTTTTTTCTTTTTTGTTTTACACTTGAGTTTAGTGGCTTGTCATGCAGGATAGTTGACATTCAGCTGTCTCTTACACACTTCTCACTGGAATGTTTACTCTAAAACCTGACTAAATGTATGTTTTCTGTAGAAAGATATGTCTTACCAACAGAAAAGCATATGCAGTGCGTACTGCTCAGCAGTGCTACTGCTAGGAGGAAAAATTACTTATTCCCATGAATTTCTCAAATAAACCCTTTTATTAATGGGACTCAATTTATGTAGCTAAAGCAAATGTGTCTATTGCAAAAAGGAGTATAGATTTTTAGCTTATGATCACAAGTTATAAGTAGCACATATAAAATGTGATAAGTGTCTGACTTGCAAGGGCTGGCAAACGTTTGGGCAAGCCTCTCATACTGAAGTTACCATGCCACAGAAATAAAGCTTTCTGAAATCCACAATTCTTGTCTTAGAATTAAGTGATGAACTCTAGAAAGCAATAAATGCCTAACGAGACGAAGCCCAGTTCAGCGGTTAAGCCGATGAATGTGGATACGGCTTGTGCTGCTTACAAACTTGAGCAGAACAGATGCTTGAGTGCCCTGAGTTGAAGGCAGGCATAGCACAGGCAGCTGGTGACGTCCTTTGGTTTCCATGGCAGTGACTTCATGTTATGTAAGGAAGTTGCGTATACACAGCCCTGGTTGTCATGGCTCTGGGAATCCTGCTCCAGCAGCCCTTTCCTGAGCAACGGTATTTAGTGGCTTTAAAAGCAATGAAATGTCCTCTGGTGCAGTTGGCTAGCTAATGCTTTTAGAGTCTAACCTCTCATTTTATTCAGGACGCAACAGTGGTGACTTCAAGTCAGTAGCACTCAGTGCAAATGATAAGATGCCTCTGAAGATCTTTGCTGTGCTTTTGAAAGAGTCAGCTTTTGGCTGCTGCAGCATAATGAGAGTACTGTGTGCTGCCTCTCAGTATACTAATAGGAAGCTTTACGTCTAAGTATGTTAAAGCATGCAGCACCCCGGGCCTAAATTCTTTTTTTGCAACAATTTTCTGGAGAGGGTAAATTGGATAACATTTGGAGAAGAGGGAAGTAAGCAAGCTCGATGAAGCCTTACTAAGAATAGTAGAAAAACTTTAAGTTTGTAAAAGATAAATGTTTGTATTGGCTCATCTGAAGTTGGGTTTCTGTAACCCTTCTCTTCCCTGTGTTTCTTTGCTTAGGATTCTCAAGTCTGAAACTGGCACCTGAGTTCCAGGCTGTGAAAAGGAAATGTGAGCTGCAGACATACATTGATTCCTTGGCCCAAGCCAAGGAACTGTGCTTTCAAGAAACGCAGCTCATGTATTTGGTTAACTTATTGCAATATTGAAAAGTTCTGTCCAAAGCCTGATTATTATTATTTTTTTTCTTCAGGGGGGTCTTATTCTGCTTTCAGCTCCTTGCTGGTGCAGCCCTGTTGTGAACCAGCACCATTCTGTGGTTTCTAATTGCTTTTACGTGCATTTCTGCAACTTTCTAATAACGTATAAAAATAAGGTCTTTCAGCCTGGGCTTTTCCTCTGTGTTGACCCAAGTTAAGAACATATACATTTTATAAAGAAGGCAACCTTTATGGTATGTGTTTTTTTGAAAGTGTGTGATATAAAAAAAACCAAAACCAACAACAAGAACAAAACCCAAGAAACTCTGTACCTGAAAACTTGGAGTTATTTTTCTTCCCCCTTTCCCCAGTTATTAGCTGGTCTAATAAGAGGTGTTCTTTCCGGAAACCTTGCTGTGCTGAGATGCCAGGCCCTTATTTCACTGCTGCCACAACATCTTTCTAATCTGTATGTATAGCTGCCTTGGCAGAGCTGATGCCTCTGACAAAGCAGAGCGCTGGCTCTTGACTGAAGCTTTCACTCAGTTTTGATGTTTCCCTCCTTTTGCAAAAGAACAAGAACACTCTTGGAGCTGTAGGAGTAAGGATCGGGCTGCGTTGCCTGCTCTGCAAGTGGAAGTGGTCTCCCTGGCAGAAGGAATTGATCTGCTTTGGCTACACCTGCAGTGTGAGCAGAAATCGGCAGGGTACAGCGTAAGGACAGCATGTAGCAGTAAGTCAATGTATGTAGCAGTGGCACTCAATCAGTTGAGTTCATCTCAATCTCCATCTTCCTTAGGATCCAGAGAACGGACAAGTTTTCTCATAATTATAGAAATACATAATAGAACAGCTCTGATTACTGCAACAGAAAGCAGTAAGGCAGAGAACGTTTCTGTTGTGTGGGGAATTATGCTGTAAACAGACTCTGTAATAAAATAACCTCTAATTCTGAGCTTAGTAATGTCTCAAAGACAACCACTCCTCAAATTCTTAACTGCAGGTACTGTTTTGGAAACAGTTTTCCAAAATGTGATATGGTACTACACTAAGTGGGAGACCAAAAGCATCTCTCTCAAAGAAGAAAGCATTTCCATTCTTTCCTAAAGTTTGTGCTCTATGTTTTCTGAAGTTGACAGAAAAAATTTCATCTATGGATCTCCAATAGAAAAAAGCAGAGAACACATTTGTTGATTTTTTTTATTTTTTTTTTTTTTTGCATTCTTGAATAGCTTAAGATGAATTATAAATGGCAGTATTTCTCAAAGATCAAATATATGCTGAATCTTCTAAAACTTGATGGAATTTAATAATATTTGGGAATTGAATGCGTTAAAGATTTAGAGAACTTCAGTATTGAGCCAGGCTGAAAATGAGGAAAGGAAAACATTCAAACTTCATCATGTGTTGGGATGGTAATGGGCTCACTTAACTTTAAAAGAGATATTTGCAGCTAAGATTTCTAGCCCTCAGCTGCAAGTGGCTTTAAGATGTAAAATAAAACTCTTGTAATATTGCAGAACATGCAGGAATTTCTTTTGTCTTTTCAGGAAACATAAACGTAGGGAGATCTGCCAGTAAAAATCCTATTGTTCAGTTAAATCCAGTGTTAGGTTGTAATAACAAGATACTGCTATTACACTACTTTGCATGCAGCATTTGTCTGAATTTGTGGGATAGGTTGAAATCCCGTGGAATAGTCCAGTTCTTTACAAAGCGTTTCTGTGCTTCCCTTGCTATTGCAAGGTTTGTGTATTTCAAACAAACACATTTTGAAACTTAGTTCTACGTTTCCTGTTTTCTAGCAGTTTTTTACCACTTCCTTCACACTTGAAATCGTCCTTTTTACACGGGTGGTGACTTGACTTCACAGCAGAGATACAACCCTGTGCTGGTTCAGATGGAGCGTTGAAGTTCAGCACGCTCATGCTATCAATACTATTATAGTTCTTGCTTTTCTTGAATAAACACCTGCCTGGTGCTGTTCTAGATGGGCAGAAGGAAGCTGTTGATGCAGTGAGGGGCTTAATGTGCTGAGTTTGGCTTAGGCCTTACAGGATCATCTCCACCTGCTGTTAGCACTCCTCATTATTGTGACTAATGATTACTGAGATCAAGTTTTTTAATAAGACCTATAGAACGTTGCCTGAAATACTGAGTGTCAGAAGACAGAATGAGATTGGCCAGCCTTCTATTTTTACAGTCAAAAAAGAATATGGATTAAACTTCTGCATCAATCTGTTACTCAAGATCTGTAGTCTGAGCTCAGGTCGTTTCTGAATAGGACAAATGCTGCAGGAAGATTCACTAAATACACTGTCAGCGTTTCTTAGCCAAAGAATCAAAACCCTTAATCCTTTTCCAGATATGCGCTCCAGATAGTGGGGCTCCAGCAACACGTATGCTTCCCATTGTGTCTCTGCCATGATAACAGTGTGCAGTAGATCAGAAAGAGAACCTTACTGAAGATGTCGCCTCATTCTTCAAAGTGGTTGGCTGGTTTGGCTGTAGTTGCACGTAGTGTTTCAAAGAAATAACTGCATCTAGTTAAACTGATGCAGAGAACAGGCTAGGACATCTTATTGAAGAGACTGCCTATGGAGGGGCAGAACTCTTGAATACATCTTCTCAATACATCTGCAGCCATCCAGGCACTTGGCTCTGCTTCTGTAGCTGAGGGGAGATGCTTTCTATAATGTGATGCTGGAGAGTTTGTGAAGGTGACCTCAAGGTGGTGTTTGATGTGGCTTAAGGTCTGTGCAAAAATAAGGAGGGAACACGTTAAGTCTTTCCACGTGGAGATGAGAATTATTTAGGCACGCTATTTCTTCCTGGTTATTAGTGTACTTTGGATCTGCTTAAGCATGTCTGAGCTATTCCTGACAGCAGGAATTTTAGTAGCCATGAGTATAGATGCAGTGAAGTTCTTTGGCCACAGCTATAAAAATAAGTCGCGTGCAAAAGTTATGCAATTGCTTCTGCATGTGGCCACTTCTTGGCCACAATAGATGAGTGTCTGATGAGGCCAACAAAATATGTATTTGTTAGGAAAAAGCGTAAGTTTTGTCTGTATTGTGTGAGAATGAGGTCACTGCTGACCCAGTGTCCTTCACTGAGAGCACAAAATACCTTAGATAATATGTCTAGATGAAGCAGAAAGTTTTAAGCACCGTTTTTAGTTCATAGTTTCTTTCATACACGCAGTGCCTTTTCAGTAACACAGCACATCATACACTGTACCAAAGACTGTAGGAGAGACTGTGAACATGAGGTGCAAAATACAGTAGCTAATGAAAGAGATACAAAATTCTCATACGTGATTAATGATTACTCTTATTTGTTAATGCAAATAGTATGCTAATGTATAAGCTACATAGAATCATAGAATCTCCAAGGTTGGAAAAATCTTCCAAGATCACCCAGTCCAACCATCCGCCTCTCACCAGTACCTCCCACTAAACCACAGCTCTTGGTACAGCATCTGAACACTTATTTCTTTGCATATAGAGAATGAACTGAATTCTGCTTCTAGACTTCCTGATTCTTTACAAGTACCTGGATGTACGTGTTTTAATTTTCCAGAAGTTACTTAAGCAGTATTTATCATCACATATCCTTGCAAACCCAAATTTTAGAAAGAATGTATATATCCAATAAAAGCCAACCACACAGCTGGTGCAGTGTGCTGTGTCACTGTTCTGAGTGCTGAGCAGAGCATGGATTGGACGCTGCTGTCTAAAGGAGAGCACTGAGGGGTGCTCAGTATGTACTCACTGTGAGCTGAGCCGCTCGGAAGTGGGCTGGAGTTTCCTCTGTGTGGTTGTGTGGCACTTTAATTGTTGTCTCACTGCTATTTTTGTCCTCTTCTTGGGGCTCTTCTGATATTTTAAGCTCAGTTTCTTGGAATCGTCTGTTCTAGCTTTTTGCCTGCTCATTTTTAATTTATGGTTTAATTATTCCACTCTCCTCTTCAGTATTTTTTGTCTTGGCTTAAGCTTAGCCAGTGTAATTTTATTACGGCAGACATAATTTATCTGTAATTACGGAGCTCTGTGGTGCCTCCTGAAACGCTTCCTGCTGGAAGGAGACACCGAGCATCTTATTGGGAGGCACTGAACGGAATACTGACAACACAACATAGATTGTATTGCAAAATCGATTCCTTAGGGAAGGTTAGGAATCGAGGAAGGGCACTGACATACAGAAGATGGCAGCTAATAGAAATGCGTGATGGTACACATTCCGTGTGCCTGCAGAAATGAGGCTTTGATACCTGTTGCTTGGTGGGAGATGGGTAACGCGCCAGAGACTTCTGGCTCCTTTTAGACTAAGCAGGAAGATGCAAGCACCTTTACAATAGTCAAGGTGTACTTCAGATAAAGTTGCCTCTGCCTTGTAAGGCTTTCTTTCAGTCTCAGCATTCCAAACCGTGCAGCTTTCTGGCATCGGGCTGGTGAAGCAGTAAAGCCCTCGCTGACTTTGCAGTGTGATCAATGAAGTTGAATTTGCAGGTCTCCATGGCTCGGCGTGCAGGCCTCCAAGTGCTGGGCACATACAGGATCGAGGCCCTAAAGTAGCATAACAGAAATCAAATAATTGTTGGAGTTAATAGCATACACTTAGTACAAATTAGAGCTCTGAAGAAAATTACCCTGTAGCGTCTTTTTCTCTCTCAGCTAAACCATATGAAGAATGTGTTGTAACTACCCAAATGAATAATTGTGCTAGGGATGAATGTGTGATTTACATTCTTAAACAAAACCGTAGCCATCCCTCAGCTTTAAATGCACGTCAAGTATTTGTGCAGGCCGCACAGAGCCAGCTGCAGTTGGGCAGCTAGCAGCGCGGTTCCCTCCCAGCTCCTCCAGGACAGAGCTGTGTGCTCTGCTTCCCACGGCTGCTGCCAGCTGCTCTTCCCTCAGGAGCTTTCTGCCTCTTCCCTTACCTCGGATCTGCTGCTTGCTTCTTTTACTGCATGCAGATCTCTGAAATGCTGGGGTCTGAGGCCCAAAACTGCTGCTGGAATTCCCATAGTGTGAAGTGACATCTGAAGGTGAAGAGCATTCTAAATATACAGTGTACATTTGATTGACTATTTTTTTGTTGCTTAAACTTTTCAAACTCTACATTTCCTGTATTGAATGCATTGCGATACCTGAAATGCTTTTTTTCTAGGCAAACTTCATGAAGAACTGAAGTAAATTTTAGCCTTTCCAGTAAGTAGAAACCAACAAAAGCACTTCATACCTAGAAGTGCTTCCTTTTCATCCTAGGTTTGTCATTTCATTGGGGACCAAGGAAATTGGTAAACACTTTTGGAATTAAACAAAAGAAGAATTGGATGGAAACAAGAAAATTTGCATAGCCTAGTAGAGATAGCTGTTAACTTCATTACATGTTCAGTAGATATCTAAAACCAACCAGGCAAGCAAGACAACTGGAACACACACGTCTTAATGATTGGTCCTTAATGTGTAAGACAGCAGCTTTACAGAGAGAATTTAATTCATTACTTAGCATTAACAAATAACTTTTTAAAAGTCACTGCTCCTGAAGGAAAAACAAATATCTGATTCATTGTCGTAAGTGGCTTTTAGAATTTCTTACTGCGTAGGGTAACAAATAAGATGGAGAACAGTTTGCACTAGTCTGTTAGAAAGGAATGTGCTTTGAATACACATCTCTCTTAATAATCTGTGCCTACCTATGAAGGAAAGCGTAATAAACTCTTATCTTCTGAGTGACCGGATTATCTTCAGCTTTAAGTGATGTTTTGCTGTCAAAGATGTGATGTCTCGATACTTTTCATCTTTGAAGAATTGAATTCTGATTTTTTTTCCCCCCCTCATAAGCTATAAAAACTGTCAGTCTGGAACTGCTGTATTTCAGAGGAATTGCAAACTCTGTAAGTAATGCTGATAATCGAGAGTACAGTAGTAAACTCAGGATGCATCTCAATAATACATCAGTTTTGATGGTAATAATGTCTACTTTTTCAGCCATTACTTTAAAGCATGAATTATGTATTTACAGATATATGGAGTTTGGGGGTCATCCTCTTTATGTTGGTGTGTGGACAACCACCATTTCAAGAAGCAAATGACAGCGAAACTCTGACTATGATAATGGACTGCAAATACACGGTGCCACCTCACGTGTCCAAAGAATGTAAAGAGTAAGTAGAGTACCCAAGAATTGAAAGCACTCATAGAAGTGGATTTTCACTGTCTCTGAGAGTCCTCATGCAGTTTATTAGCGTGGAAATATTCTTTGCTAGCTACTTGTGTTCTTCCTTAGTTCTCAGTATTTCCTCATGTCGACTGAGTATCTTGGGCAGCAGTACAGCATCTTTTTATTTCCTATACTTGTTCTTAGAAAAGGTTACTCCTATGATTTTTTTTGCCAGTAGGCTTTTCCAGCATTTGTGAAATTGTGTCTTTATTCATCTGTCGTCCATTTTATAAATGATCAGAGAAGATGCTCAGGGCTTGACTGGATTTGGCCACTGTTCTTGCTGGGCAAATCGCAAAGTGTTGCTTGGAGTACTTTGTGGCAGGAGTGAAAAAGGTAATGGTCTCTCTAGATTCCAGTTCGGAATACAAGGTGGCAAAGCCCAAGAATATCACAGCAAGCTTTGCTTATCTCCTACTGAAATGGAAGCTCCAACATTCTAGGCAATCACAGGAGAAAAATCATCTATCTGCAAAATGCCATATGCTGCTTGAAAATCATGACTCATTTTGATGTGATGCTTTTCTGCAGTATTCACTGCTGCTTTTTTATTTTTTATATGTTCTAATATTGGCCCATACAGTAAAGATCAATTAATGACATCATCAGTTCTTTTACTATATGTCAGAGTCATAAGACTAGAGGAACATCTAAGATTCTGTTCCTTGACAGAGAAGGAAATTTGTTATAACTGTGATCAAAATGACCATTACGCTCTTAACCTGTGCAGTCCAGGAATGCATAACACAACATAGTAACGAGTTTTCATGTCTTATAGTGTCTAGCATTTCTGGTATGGAAAAGCTCCTATCAGGGCTCTCAGCAACTTGAAGAGATTTACAAACGAGAAGAAGTTTAAAATACCAGATGGGAAGAGTTTGAAAGCTCTTATTAGTGAATTCTGTCAGAAAGGATCATAGAATGGCCTGGGTTGAAAAGGACCACAATGATCATTGAGTTTCAACCCCCCTGCTATGTGCAGGGTCACCAGCCAGCAGACCAGGCTGCCCAGAGCCACATCCAGCCTGGCCTCCAGTGAATCTTGTGAGATGTTGCATGTGGTGCGTGGGCCATGAAATTTCCTGTTTTTTGGATCCTTTTGCTTAATATACTGGCTAATGCTAATCTGCTTAAAGGCCCAAGTAGATCTGCTTTCTGCATGTGGCACTCTGTGATGTATTGCCAGTTAGCTAAGTGCTCTGAAGGTTAGGTTTACTTAGGGAAATGGCTCTGAAACTGCCTAAACCATCTGCTTTAAGTGAAAACATTCTTGATGTTTTGGGATGCATAAGAAAGCCTGAAGCAGGAGGGCACTTGTGGTGCATTTATGATGCACTTTACTACCATACTGCTGGTGTTTTACTAGGGCATTAAAAAGAGTCAGATGAATTGCATAGTTAGTTCTGTGTGTGTTCAAATAGTAATACAAGTGACATCTCACCTGGATAACTTCCCAGTAGAGACAGAGTTCATGGAGGTGACAGTCATCTTTTCCTGCTTACTTTAGGAATCTATGCACTGCCCTACCAGCACTTGCAAACGTTCAGCGTCAACCTGTTAGTATGTTTGTTACTTCATCCTAGATGTTGTTTTTAAGGGTGGAAGAGGTCACTGTCTTTTCACAGATGCAGAAGAATCAAATGTCTTAGAGGCGATCTCAGAATAGAACATTTCTGCTTATTTTGCCACTCTACAATCTTGTTGACAGCAGCAATAGTAGGAAATTATATTTCTATTATTGTACAGACCAGCCTGTAGGCCATCTGTCACAGCTGCCATACAAACATTAAAAAAAACAAACAACAGCAAATCAGATGTTAGGAATCTAAGCATAGCAAATGAAAACTGTAGTGCTTATGGTATTTGTAGTTTTTAATAAATAAATAGTTTCAGCTCAGCAATATTTGGAACTTGTTTGAGAATAATTTCTTACCACACTGCTTACGTAGAGACTTCTGAGGACCTATTTGGGCTGACAGCAAAGTTCTTTCCAGTGCTGCTGTTAGAATGGTTGTCTTTTAAACATGCAAATGCATTTTGTTTAGATCTGTTTTTTATTTACAGTCTGATTACACGGATGTTGCAGAGAGATCCGAAGCGAAGGGCATCTTTGGAAGAGATTGAGAACCATGCGTGGCTCCAAGGAGTTGACCCTTCCCCTGCAACAAAGTACAACATTCCTCTTGTGTCATACAAAAATCTGTCCGAGGAGGAACACAACAGCATAATACAGCGCATGGTTCTTGGTGACATTGCAGACCGAGATACTATAGTGGAGTAAGTTCTCAGTCTCCTACATGAAGTTCATTTTGTGCCACCGTACGAGATACAGCACTGGTGACCTGGGTGTTTCAGTGTTGAAATGTCAAGCCATTCAGTTATCAAACGAAGTGTTACAATCTTGCTCTCTGAGAGCATTCTAGGATGACAAGTACTGACATGGATCCAGTCTTAGGCAAAACTTTAAGGAGGTGTTTTGGAACAGTTTTCGTTTCCTGCAACACTTTGCAATCTTAAGCAAATTTGCTTTGAAATCCATGCTTTGACTTGTGCTACCTATCCATACTAGTTATGCCTGTCCGCATGCATACGTAGAGGTGATAAATTCTAACATTTTTCCTTCAGTATGCTGGCATATACATGGATCTTTGTAATTCAAAGTACTATTTCTTATGTCTGTGTAATGCAAAATCGTCATTGCCACTGAGTGAGCATACTAGAAAGCTGCATAGTTTCTTCTAACAGATTAAAAACCCCAACTCTTCACAACATTCAATGCATTGAAAGAGGGTGTAGCTGTTTTTTTCTATTTGTTCATGTTTGACCTGGAAAAAACTCTTAAAACCTTAACATTGGAGGGAGGGGGAGAAAAATAAAAGAGATAACAAAACAGCAGGGTCACTACTTACGTTTTTAGCTGCTGGTGTCCTTTATGTTGGGATTAGGAGTATAATGTTATTGTGAAGTTAACGTGACAGCTGTAAGATAATGGAAGTTTTTCATCTGGTTGCTACATAAATGAGTGTTGGGAATAAATGAGCCAATGGGAAAAGCCTGCTGCTGGTGCATAACATTAACAAAATACAGTTTTATTCTTTCAAGTATGGTCAGCAAAGGAAGAATTAATTTCTTTTTGAATGGCACTCTAAAAATATTCTCATTCACCTAAAGTGAACTGATTAGACCTGTTGGCTCTTTATTTTTAGGAAGACCAAGACAATTGTCAGGGTATCAAAAAGACACAGTTGTGTTTGCCAGGTGCTGTGCCTAAGAAATACAGCAAGATGTGCAAACTGCGTGTCCAGTTCTTAGAAGCCACTGATGTACGGTTTGTTTCTTGTTCTGTTGTTTCCGTAGGGCACTGGAAACTAACAAATACAATCACATCACTGCTACGTACTTCTTATTGGCTGAGAGGATTCTGCGAGAAAAACAGGAGAAAGAAATTCAGACCAGATCTGCAAGCCCCAGCAACATCAAAGCGCAGTTCAGGTAAGAATTAGAGAAGGTAAATTTTTTTCTTCTTTTTTAAATTTAGTGTCTTATTGAATTGTTCAAGTACTACTTTTATAAAGCTGTGACGTGCTTATTTACTGCCAGTTTTAAGTGGGTTCAAATAAAGTGCTGTGGACAATTGAGAAGCTGTTCACGAATTAGTTACCAATATTCTCAATTTCTACTGTTTTTAGAAGATGGGTAAAGAATTTGAAGTCTGTATATGAAGGAATACCTGCTGGGAACAGACGTGTTCGTTGACCATCAGATCCTCATAGAAAGTTTGTGCAATATCCTTGGGGGGAAAAAATCAGTTGCATTGTCCTTAAATGTGATGGGGAGTTACTTAGAGATGAGAAATTACTTGAAGTTGACGTTAAGGAGTAGTTGTTAGCTTCTGGTTCTGTAAATCAGGATTAGAGCAAACTTCTTCAGGTTGTTCTGTTCTTTTTAATATAGTTAGTTTGATATGGCTGTTATGTAAGAAAAATGGTTGAAAACTTCAGTCATCCATTTAAAATTACTGCCATAGAATTCTTAGTTTGACAAAAAGCACCTTGGAGTTTTCAAAGCTTCAGTTTGTTGACAGGCAGTAAAGCAAAGGGAGGAGAGGAGAATTGTGCCATGTAATTAGTACTGATGTGTTCAACCAGTCCCCTTGCTGTGCAGGCCACTATCACAGCATCACATTTCCAGTTACAGAAGCATATGCTTATGTTGTGAGTAGTTTCCAGTTGCACATTGATTCTGGGGCATATGAGTTTTGAACAGTTATGTTTCTTAAATGCTTTCTTTTTAGTTTGCTGAGTAAGTGTTAGAATACAACAAGAAACCTTCTGCTGTTAAGAAAAATCATTACTGGCCCATCTTGACAATCTTTCCAGTGAAGATGGAGGTGGTACTGAGGCTTTTGCATTAATTTCTGCCCTCTGATCTCCAGTCTTTTCAGAAAGTTGCCTTATGACTTAGGTAAAATGTTATTGATAATCACTGTTAGCAGTAATAGCAGTTGTTGGTAGCTAATCTCTTAGTGAGAGAAGAACACGAAATGCTTCAGTTGCTACTGTCCTTCAGGTTTGTTAATGTAGCAAGGAAAAGACAAGACTGGTCATTCATGCTAGAGGGCTTTTTGTGCAACTTTTCTTGCAATGGAAGTCATAGAAGAGTGGCAGAAGAGCATGAATACTGTGATTCCCTTCTGCTGCATATCTATATTTTACTTGGACTAATTGATAGAAGGTACTATCATCTCAAATACAATCTTAACAAAAAACAAAAACAAAAAGAGTGCTTGTTACAAATTAAAGGTAAGCGCAGTGGAAAACAGGTTCTAGATGCATCATCTGCCTTGATTGTGACCTTGGATTTAGGCTGAAACTTTTAGGACTTAGATGAATCACTTCTGAATATCCTTCCATCTACCTGAATAACAAGTTGTTTTAGAATCTTACAGTGGCTATTATCAGAATCTTTGTTGTCTGGAGATTGTGTGCTAGATTACACTGAAATCTAGTTGCTGCACAGAAGGGTCATCTCTCTCTGTCTGCTCACGTAAGAAACATTATCTGATGTGGCATGGTGACAAGTGCTTTAGAAGAATTATTGCTGCAAGTACAGGTTTTAATCTACAGAAACTTAACTGGTCTAAGGCTTGGTGTTACAGAGCTTACCTCTTTTCAAGGTCACGACTATATGCCTTTTGCTCTGCACTTCTCTCTGTCCTCTTACGTCCATCAATCTCTTTTACAAGAAATTCAATTAGAACATCAAATGTGTCTAATAGTAAGTATAAGCTGTAAAACAAATTAGAGGAAAACTTTGGAGTTCAAATGAGTTCTAAACCTACAAAGTCTGCTTTTAAATTGTTTTTTTCATTGTATCAGTATCACTTTTTCTGTAAAACAGCTGCTCCAGTTAGATGAGGAAGTGGGACACATAGATTTATTGAATCTGAATCTTGATATGATTTTGTAATGTTGAACAGAGTAGTTAAAGTCTGCGTTAATAGCGTGAATTTTCTTTGCGTGACAAGCAGATCCACAGTAATTGATGAACTCTTGCCATTAACAATTCCAGGTAGCGTTCAAGTTACTTCTTTTCTCCATGGTGGTTCTAAATGGAAAGTATCTAGAGTGATCTTATGGAAAGGACAACGGTGATGCATTAATTTCATTTTGAGAGTTTAGAAGATGTAAAAGTTAAACATGAATAACTCACAATTTGGAGTTTTCCTTCTGGCCCACTCACCTTGGACCTACTGGACACAATGTGGAGGAAGACAGGGAGGTAAACGTGGGCTACTGTGTGAGATACACGTAGTATTGGAGGCTTGCTGATGTGACTTCCATCTACAAGAAGGGCTGTAAGGAGGATCTGGGGAACCACAGGCCTGTCAGCCTGATCTTGGTACCAGGGAAAGTTACAGACCAAATCAGCTTGGGTGAGATCACACATGTGCGTGGCATCCCGGGGATCGGGCCCAGCCAGCACGGGTTCATGAAAGGCAGGTTGTGTTTGACCAACCTCATCTCCATCTGCAACTGGGTGACCAGCCTGGTGGATGAGGGGAGTGTTGAGCAAATACAGTTCTAACACAGATGCATCTATTAACTCTAAACACTTGAACACAATGAGAATAGCTGGTGGTCACCCTGATCTGAAACTTTTCTGCTTCCTCTCTGCTTTCCAGCCATACTTTGTTTCTTACTTGGGCTGGAGAGTTTTGCAGCCCCTTCTGGTGGCATGCCCAAAGTAAGGTTGGCAGTATCTTGTAATGTCATCCATACACGAGCAGAAGTCTCTTTCCACTGCTTCTCGTGCTAGATTATGTTAGCTAATGTAAAATCACATGATGAGGAAACTGCTTTTAACTTCAAGATAACTTTTTGAGAAGATAGAAGAAAACTCTTACTCTGTACAAGGAGTGTGGAGCTTATGCGCAGTCACTGTCAAGGTGGTGAGTTCTTTTGGATCAGTCTTCAAAATACAGGTAGAGAGGAAAGGACTGTCAGTCTTTGTTCTTAATTTATTGTGTACGTGATGGGAAAATTACATCTCCCAAATGCAAAGTAAAATATAAATCGTTAGTACCAGCTGCTGATGGTAAACCTGATTTACTCTCAACTGTCACTTCAGTTTGTTTTGAGACACTCATACAGTTTGAACTTTGATTATGCTAGTTTATTAAGCAATCTGAATTCTGAATTTATGGAACTGCAGTATTCCTGTTGTTGAGGTAAGGTCAAATAAATGTGTGTGACCTTGATGCATATGTTTGAAATTAAAGGTGATTATTGTGGAACAGAGCTTAGTCTGAATGAAACTTACTTAAATAGGAGAATGTTCCTTCTGACTTTGCTTTTCAGCCTCATTTGTGTTGATTTTAACCTGATTTTTGTAGTAAGAGTACTGGGGAAAAAAGTAACAAAAGCTTCAGAATATTCTAAACCACTTTTACTCATCTTGTACCTGAACCTTCTTGCGTCTCTCCTCCGTGGCACCGGTGTTTCTATGCCTCCTTCAGATTACTGGAAAGGCAGTTATTTAAAGCTTTGTATTGCTTACCTCATTTTCTGAGTAGTGAATTTTTTTAAGATTCCTTTTGACAGAAAACAACATTTCTAAACGATGCTTTTGTAAATATGACATTCCTTTCAAGTAACAGCATTTCCAAAGGAATGCACATCTTGAGAACGTTTTTTCTCAGTTACTCAGTACTGCCCTTTACAAATACACAACTCAGGCAATCTTTGTGGCAGTTCTTAAGCTCCTCATGTATAGTTCTCAAACTTGCTTGTGTGTTTTGAGATGATCGCCATGATGTGACTTTTATCTTTTGTACTTCTGTAGGCAATCATGGCCAACAAAAATCGATGTACCCCAGGATCTGGAGGATGACCTTACAGCTTCTCCTCTCTCCCATGCAACTGTTCCTCAGTCTCCAGCTCGCACGGCAGAAAACGTTCTCAATGGACACAGAAGCAAGGCTGCTGGTGAGTCAGCAAAGAAAGAAGAGATCCCTGAGTTAGCAGGGCCGGCACTCTCGGTAGTTCCATCAGTGAGCTTAAAACCCACTACGAGCGGCCGGAAGTGCTTGTTCAGAGTAGAAGAAGATGAAGAGGAGGATGAAGAAGACAAGAAGCCTATTTCTCTTTCTACTCAAGTTGTTCTGCGCCGTAAGCCTTCGGTTACAAACCGACTGACTTCACGAAAGAGCGCCCCAGTCCTCAATCAGATCTTTGAGGAAGGAGAGTCGGATGATGAGTTTGACATGGACGAGAACTTACCCCCAAAGCTCAGCAGGTTAAAAATGAACATCGCTTCGCCTAGCACAGTGCACAAGCGCTACCACAGGAGGAAAAGCCAGGGCCGTGGCTCTAGTTGCAGTAGCTCAGAAACAAGTGACGATGACTCGGAAAGCAGGAGGCGCCTCGATAAGGATAGTGGGTTTACTTACTCGTGGCACAGGCGGGATAGCAGCGAGGGGCCGCCTGGCAGCCAAGGAGATGGTGGTGGACAAAGCAAACCAAGTAACGCAAATGGAGGAGTGGACAAAACGAGCCCAGGTGGTGATAGCAAAGGTGGGGGAAGTCCCTCCAGCAACTCCAGCGGCAGCACCAACAACACTTCAGGCTCCACTCGTCGATGCGCCGGATCTGGAAACTCAATGCAGTTATCCTCTAGAAGTGCAGGGGAACTGGTTGAAAGCCTGAAGTTAATGAGCCTTTGCCTGGGTTCACAGATTCACGGCAGCACTAAATACATTATTGATCCTCAAAACAATCTGACATTCTCCAGTGTAAAAGTACAGGAGAAATCATCGTGGAAAATGTGTATAAGTTCCAGTGGAAGTGCCAACCAGGCTTCTTCGTTGGGCAGCCTGAAGTTCTTTTCTGACCAGATATCAGACACGGCAAATGAATTGGAACGGCTAAAGAACAGGAACTTGAAAAATAACGTGCTACAACTACCTCTCTGTGAAAAGACGATATCTGTGAATATTCAGCGGAACCCAAAGGAGGGCCTGCTGTGTACCTCCAGTCAGACCAGTTGTTGTCATGTCATTTGACAGCAGCCTGACTTTAATAGCTTGATCTATTTGACCGCATCTTTCTTCCTGTTCAGAGCTGTGAACGCCTTGTCACTGAACCCCCTTTTGTTGTCTTAAGATTTTTAAGTGGGCTTTGAGCAGTTATTTATTACGTTTTAATTTTGTGTTTGCTTGATGATATGACAATGCATGGTCTTTGCATGCTGCTAGCCATTATATTTTTTTTCGACGAAACAGAATATTTTGTTGTGTAGTTTTTACATTTATAATTTTACTATGGAAGATCTGGATTAAATTAAAATGACTATCTGGATCCTAATGTAAATGGAGCACTTAGAAGTTTCACGTTCTGCACTTAAACTAGAGAGAGAGGAGCTTTTGTTCACTTGTGAAATGTTAATTCTTGTTCTGACCTTCTGTGATATCTAAAATCTGTGATATGTGGCATACTTCTATGTGTCTGAAACAGAACCAAAGCAATAATGTTTTGATGCTGAAAACTCTTCAGGGAGCTTTCAGATGTTCCAAGGCTTGTACAAAGCAAAGATGCACTGAAAATTAGCGATCTTGAAATATGAGTTTAAACCCATACCTATTTGTCTTAAGTTATGAAGTGGATAAAGTTGTGGCTCAAAAATCAGAGTGAAAAGATCTCGTTTTGCTAGAGGCAGTTGCGTTGCATTGTTGGGTTGGGTTTTTTTGTTTTGTTTTAAAGAAGCAAGTAGATTTGTAAGGCAGCTTTTTTCCCATAGAAATATGTTAATATTACAAGCAGACAATCTTTTTTAATATAACAGAGGTAAATTATTAAGCCTACTTCTGAGGTTTTACGTGCTAACTGAAAATAAACTATTTGTATGAATTACTTTCATTATTTGTATATCACGACACTTAACATTTTAGGTTTTTACCTTGTGAGCCTTCCTCCCTGTTCTCTCCCAGCCTCCTGGAGATTTCAAAAGGCAGTAAGGGATGGAAAACCTTTAATTGGATTCAAGTTGACGTAGTTCCTGTCACTTACGTTTTTCTCATTATCAAATCAGGCTCTTGTACGACTTAAAGTACTGCTGTTTGCCCATACGCACGCCCCTTATTTTCCCTCAGTTACATGCTTTTTGTCAATATTGGTGAAAATAGCATATAGGAAAGTATTTATTTTACAACTATTTGCCTTTCTGTTGGGTTTCTCATAGCCACGGCGAGGTCTTGTTTTAGAGTATTTGTGTACCAGTGGGTGCATTTGACAAGAGAAGGGGAATTTACTTGTGGAATTTTATTATCTAGATAAAAATATATTGCGGATTCCTGGTTTGGGGAAGGGCGAGAATGTTTTATTTTTTCATGCTGTGCACTGGGTCTTCTGAGCAATGCTAATCAAACCGGTGGTGTTATGTAGCAGCGCCCTGGCCAGACGTTGGATGTCTGAGAGGAGTTTACACTGTTGAGCATCTTGTCACGTTGCAGAATGGCCAATACAATGTATTTCATGTCTGCTGTAGAGTGAGTAGAGCACCAAAGAACTGCGTTACACTTGGTTGTAATTTCTACAGTTGATGACAGCTCTTCTCATTAGTAAAAGACTTTACTAAGAGGACCTGAATTGCGCGGGGTTTCCCGCCAGGGATTTCACATTCTGCTTCCTAAACAAGGATGTGATGACGAGCATTTTACTTTTAAGTAAGTTTTAGGAGAGTTGCAGTTTAGTCAGTGTGGTATTTATAAATGAAAAACTGCAAGAAGAGATGTGTGGGTGAAGCCATAGAACATACTTGCTGACGTTTTTTGAGCAGGGATCTTCTAAAGGGCCAGAAATAAGATGTGTGGTTCACGGACAGTGAGCGTAACATCGAAGTAGGAGGAAAAGTTTATAAAGGGCATTGGCAATAAACTTATTTGTTGCAGCTTTTTTCCAAGCATTGTAAATACTCTTTCCTGATATTATGTACAGCCTTGGAATGGCACCTTTTAACTAACCCCAGGTGTATTTTGTTTCCCATGTTTTTATATACAAATGTATATATGGTGCTCACTTTAGAACAGCAGTGTTGATCATTTATGCTGCATAGTTGTATTATAGCCTTACTAGTTGTGTGTGGTTGGTTGACCTCTGGGCGTACAGCTGTTAGTCTGAGTGGCGTCCCTTATCCATCTGTTGATAGGTGAATGACTGTGCATGTGGTGTACGTTGTATTATGTCGTCACGTAGAAGGAAGGGCGAGAAGAACCACTACATTAAGATACTATTGGACCAAACTATTACTTAGAGCGAGTAAACAGTTCCTTGTACCCCTTAACGTGTCTTGGAAAGTTGCATATAGTTACAGTAGTGTATAAATTAAATATTGTGCAAAAACAATTAGTCTTGTATTTTTCTGTATGTGTGTATATATTATATATAAAATCATGTACCTCTAGCAACTTCATCTGTATTTAAGATGTGACAATCTTGACACAGGATTTTAAAAGTAGCAGTATAAATAAGCAGAATTAACAAACAAATATAAAAATTTCTCACCAAGAAAGAATTTGCGTGTGTGTGTGTGAGCGTGTGTTAAGAGGGTACAGAAATAGCAGCTGATCTTATTGCTTCCAGCAGTGTTTGGCTTTTTCATTGTATAAAACTTCATGATGTGTGACAGACATGGAAAATCCAGTTAATAAAAGTACTATCTTGACTGATGCATAACCTATGCTGTGCATGTCAGTGCAGTTTGTTACTCCCAGTGCTCAGTGTGTAAGGGCAGTGCACACCCTGCTGATCTCCCTGCACTGCAGGCTTGACTTTCAGAGCAATGTGTGCTGGGAATGAATTCTGGCAGCAGACACTGGACAGTCACTTCAGCATCACCCCGCCAGGGTCTCATGTAGTAATATACAAAAGCAGAAGATAGCAGGAAGGGAAGCTGGCACACACCTTTGTGCGTGGCTGTACATTTATTTGCAGGGTTTTTTGTTAACCTGCTTCTCTTCTCTTGCAGTTATAAATTGCTTGCTTGGGCTTATAGGGTGTCATAATTAAGCAGAAAGCTACTTGAGCAGATGCCAAAGGGGAAGATAGCTGTTTGTTTCCTAGGCAGAACTTCAACACAACCTAAGGAGTTGAGTGTTTGGTGAACTTTACAGCACCCAGAGACCATCTGTGATGATCCTGTCCTACTCACTTTCTTGGCCAACCTAGGGCAGCTGGCTGGTGCTCTTCTCTCTGCATCCAGAAGCTGTGCAGTACAGAACACAGAGGGTTTCAAAGTCTCAGATAAAATATTTGTTGTGTGTTCATCAGAGACCAGCCTTAGCCACACACACATCCATGACAGTTGGGAGTGACGTTGTGTCCACCTTGCTGGGAGCTGTTAGAAATAAGGTGCTTCACTTGTCTCAGGTTTGTCTTGTTAGGTAAAATAATTGGTTGCATATCAGTTTGCCATGTCTGTAGGCAGCCTGTTAACTGATCTGCTTGTAAAAAAGTATGTGAGCAGAAGTTTCAGCAGGGCATTGTAAGTGCCTTTAATCCAGCCTTAACCCAGAACTGTTCTTCTCTGCAATATAGAACAGTAAGAGTGAAAAAGAACCAAAAAGTGAGTATCAGGTCTTGCTGGTTTTGTGCAGAGAAAGGAGGTAAGGTGCAGCACTGTCTGAATGTAGGCAGTCACAGGTAGCGGGCAGCCAGGAGCTAATGCTGCTTATTTACTGCAACTGCTTCACAGTGTACTGCATACAACGGAGTTGCAGTGTTTGGGCTGCCACGTGCTGCTAAACATCTGCTCTTGAATACTTGGTCTAAAATGAAGTACGTCAGTACAGAACTGCAATGCCTAAGCTGAAATACAGGCACAGGCTGTCAGTGTCATCACTTAAAAGCCACTGTGCCTTAGCACGTAGGGAGTCGATCAACGCTTCTTTGGCTTTGTTTTCAAGGTACTGTGAAAAGCATTTCAGGTTGAGGGGAGGAGTAGCTGAGCCACTAAGCAGCACAGCTGGCTTGTGCTTTCACACTGCTCTGCCCGTTTTGCCTGCAAGTGCCTGATTGCTGTCTGTATCTGTCTGTGCATGTAACCACTAACAGATTCCTCTCTGGTGACTCAGGAAAGAACTGTGTAAGCAATACCCCATGAGAGGAGAGAGAGGCTGGGCACCCCAGCGTGCCAGGCTCCATCTCTAACAGTATGGCAGGATAACTGGTGCTGCCAGGGCTCCAGAACCCTCTGTGCTCAGCTGGAAGAATCCCCACGTACTGATTTCCAGGTCAGGGTAAGTGAGGGCTTGGTGAGTTAACTGTGACAAAATCATAACCAGAGATGCTCAATGCTGTGTGACCACACAACATTATTAGGGATGGATGGCATTCAACAGGCCCTGTACTATCTGCTCCAAAAGTTATGTTCATCACTGGTGCCTTTAAAAAAGTTGTGGCTGAGAATGTGCTCTATCAAATTCCATCATTGTGCTCTTTGTATCTGCTGTAGTTTCCATGGAAATAAATAGGAGGCATTACTTTTAAAGCAAGCTACATAATTGTATGCAATTAGTGTACCACTGCTTTATGATGAGCTATCTGTGTGAGGATGTACCCATAGGCTTTGGTGGCTGTGACCACTGCTGGGGAACATCTGAAGTCTGGTCAATGCAAAATGTGGAGGTAGCAGCAGAGGAAAATGCAACAATCTCTCTCTCCCCCCTCCTGTTTTTAAGAGAAGGCAAACAATCGTGACTTATTAACTTGTATTTGCAGACATCTTTCATCAAGAGCAAATAAAGGAATGTGCCAGCCAGTTATACCAAACTTGGCTGGCAGACTGGAATGTCCTCAGGTGACTGAAAAATGACAGAAGACAGCTGAGGCACCATGACAACCTTTCCAATGGTACAGTTGATACGAGTAAATCAGAGCAGAGCTGTCTGTCACCGATGCTAGATTATTGCTTGCGGTACAAGGTGTTTGAGTAGTAACATCTTAACATAACCATACTTGGGCCAGCTTGAGCATGACTCATTTGTTTGTCTGGTTGGGCTAAAGCCAAGTTACTCATCAAAGTCATGGAAGAACGTTGTTGTGAGGGAAGGCCAGGACACCTTCCTTAGGAGCAGTGTTTTTGTGGCTGCTTGAGTCTGCCTTGCTCTGATGCACAGGCTGGGACTATGCTTTTGAGGCTGAAACTGCAGTTGTTAAAGGTTAACTTACCCTGGCCTATTTGCATGGTACTGCAAAAGATACCAGTTTCTAAGAGTTGAGAACAGTGAAATAGTGACTGATTGAATTCTACTATACCAGAAAGGGAAAAAAAAAATAAAATCCATTGACTTTCCCAGGCAGTAGAATTGTCCTGTGAAAAAATACTTGGGGCTTTTTTAAGGGCTTCACTTGTCTCTTAGACATGCCATGTCAGGTCTCCCCAGCAGCTGATTTCTCTTGTGTAACATCTTCCTGCTCCTACTCTCTCTTGAGAAATACTGGACTGGAGGAGGTAAGAAGGGACAGAGCTGTTTTTCTCCATAGGCACCAGCTGCCACATACACTCAGCTCCCTCAGTGCCTGAGGCCTGGGAGGAGTGCAGCTCAGCTGCAGGCCTGCAAGCCCAAAGGGCTGATGAGCTCTCTTACACTGAGCCAGGGATCGCCTGCATCACATCTGCAATGACAGATGCCATCCTCACCACATTTTAAATCAAGCCACAGGGTGCAGAGACCCATTCTCTGTAAGGTAGGAGGCCATCAGTCTCCAAGGCTGACAGTGAGTCACCAGGCTCTGCAGTTTCCACCTCCTGGACAAAAAAGGGGAAAGCCACTCCAAGGAAAGAGGGCTCAGGGAGTAGAAGGAAGGGTGCCTGCTGGCTTCACTTACTCAAACAGGGAAGTAGTGCACTGATGTTTTAACTCCTCAGTGCGAGGTAAGACCTAGTATCCCCAGATCAGAGTAGGTTAAACCACCCAGAATTGCTTGCCTGCTGAAATAGGAACTTTTCCTCTTCTACTGTCCTTATGTTTGCCGGAGGGGCTGCAGGCCAGCAATGCCAGTGAGAGGTCCTGAGTCAGCAGCCTGCCTGGGCCACATGCTGTGACCTGCAACTGAAACCATACCTGAGGAGAGAATTTTTTCCATCACCATTAATTTGTATTGCACTTCTCCGTAAAAACAGCTTTCTGTGCTGCTGCTGCTAAGCAGCAATATAAAATTCAAGTTCTCTAGATAGGACCAGGCTATTCACTCCCATGTGTTCTTCACCCCAACCAGGATTCTCCTCCAAACCAAACCCATCCTTGATTTCTCCCTTCAGATTGAGACATGAGAGCTTCCACTCCCACAGGCCTTAGGCATGCAGCTCCTCAGACTGGGAACAGACACATGTTACACAGCTTGCAAAAGGCAGTCACCAGTAAATACCTTATTTATTTTTTCTCATGTTTCAGGAGCAGTTCAGTGACAAAATACAACACAGCACCATCCAGGTAATAGTTCTCCATGGACCAGAAATGCTCTATCATGATTTTAGCATCACAGCTGCTGCACAGTGAGTTCTCCAGGGCAAACTACTCTCTACATTTGTGTAAATGACTGCCATACACTTCACTCACACGCTATGGAGGTTGTCGTGCCTCCACACCACCTGGCTGTAGGCCACCCAAGGAACATTATTACCCCCAGTCCTACATATCAATACTGAGCAGAAGTGAATGGATTTGCTCAAGGCAAGGATGGCTGCCGAGGTTGCTCACATCACCAGGTACCCAAACCTTACTATGTATTTTCCTATTAGGCTGTAGAAAACTGGAAGAATGCAATAACTGTGAAGACAAGTACAAAGTCAGCTTTGGGTAAGCCATTACTTATTTCTTTCATTTGACTACAGCTGAGATGCAACCTGATTCCTTTTCCAACCAATCCTGAGGCATTTTCAAAGACAACCCATGCAGCTGCCATTACAAACCTGCCCACTTCATGCTCTGAAAGCAATACCAAGCAGAAGACAACAGGCTCCAGTCATAGCAGCTCTTACATCTCAAGAGGAACCATCCCCCAGGTTCCTCACTAACCATGCTGACCAGGCAGCAGGAGAAAAACACTGAAATCTGCAATGGTAGCTTTTCTACACGCAGCCCCAGGAGCGTCATGCATAGGTAAGGTACACCTACTGCAAATTCAGGTCACAGCTGGAGAATGGAGATTACCCATGGTTAGGGGGGATTTTGGTCCTGTAACTGCCAGAAAGCAATTAAATGTTATTAAAATGACTCTTGTGAAATGCCCCCCCCCCCCCCCCCATGAAGTGGTCACTGGGCACCTGGGTACTGGTGTATCACGTTTACAACGCTGTGGTTCAAGGCCCAAGGAAGTGATGCCAAAAGCAAATATAAACAAAAAAATACATAAATATCTGCTGCTTAATCTTCATAAGTTACTGCTCAGTACTGTTTCCTACTCAATGCTTTTACCCAACTCTGGGGAAGACTTTAACTCACACTTATTTGGGTAACCAGCACAGAGGAACGTGTAATGCACACCTTATATTTATGTTTAGATATTTCTCAGGTTATGTCAGGAACAACCATATTTCATTACATAACGTAAATTAATTTGCTATGTGCAAAAAGCAGCTAATCAGCAGTGGTTGAATAAAAGAGAGGACTAGTTAACTGTCATCATAAAGGGACAAAGCAGGCCATAGGCTCAGAGGCAGTGCACTGAATGAAGTGCTGCTCCACCTTTTTCTTTCTGTTTTCTTTTACAAGGTTACAGCTGAAGTCTCTGGGTATCTTGGGGATGCTTATCCCAAGTTCTGTTTTCCATCAGTTGAAGTGCGGTGGGTCTGGAAGCCTTCAACCAGACCTTGTGCAGGCTGGACTGCTTTGTGTAGTGTCAGCTCCACAAACTGGTGTATGTAGGGGGGGAAAAAAAAAAAGGAGTAGGAGAAATGATCTCTTTTTCACCACCTCAAGTAGTGAGTATTTACCAGGTATCATAGAAGCAGGTGCCACGTGCAGACACACGGAATAGCATGGTGTGCACTCAGCTCCTCAGCATCATAAACAAAGGCTCAAGGAGTGCCCACGTCCATGTGTGACTGCTGTAGTCATCTTTGTTCCTTCATGTTTACTCCTTCAGTGATTCAGCAGCGAGTTTCATTTGCTGTGGGAGAAGAGAAAAAAAGCACAGAAACTCAGTGGTAGTGTGATGAATTAAACCAAACTTCGTGTCAGAAACATGCTCATTGCATGGGATAATCTCAAACACAAAAGGAACTTAAAATATATTAATTATTCATTAATATAGCAAATATTTGTTATTACCAGTACAAGAACATGTCTGCTGCTCACGTGCTGTGCATAGTTCTAAAATACATTCTTTGGAGAGATAAAGGTGTTAGTTCACTGTTAGATCGAGTTCCTCCTCTTATTCCTGTATTTGATTTCAGAGACTCGGCCCGGTAAATAGAGTCAACCCTAATTGTATCAAAAACATTCCAAAAGATGACTCCTCACAGTAAAACCCACCTACAGTTACTTTTGTTGCCATTTTTAATCTGCATTTCCAAGCCACCTATGAAAGAAGTATATTAATCTGCGATACAAATATTTATATGCTTCTCCATGGCAACAGCATAGAGAAAGCAAAATGGAGTGGAATGCAGGAAGAGAGATTCCTCTTCTGCATCCTGATTCCCTTATTTGAATAAATGTCTGTGTAAAACTACAGCATCTTAATTAAAGTGACTTCAATCCCTAATGTAAAGACATGAGGGAGACACAGAACATAACCTAACTCAATTAATGACCTATCAAATTCAAACCCAATTCACCAATTTTAGAAACATTTTCTCAAATGCTGAGCATTGTTGGAATTAAATGAGGGACCGATCCTAAAGGGTCCCTTCCAACCCCAACCACTCTACGACGCGCAGCATGTGGAATAGGGCAAGGATGCTTCTCCTCCCTGATTTCTCCATTTTTCAACACAGTCTGGGGAAGAGCAACAACCAAGCATATTAACTATTTCTGAGGACTAGATAACAAATCTGGCCAAAAATAGTCAGAAGTGCAATGATTGCCACTGACTTCTGAAGGCCCTCCCAGCTTGCAGCTAGAATGCTCAGCCAGGAACCCTCTGCTGGTGTATTTTAAAGCTGTGTAAGGAACAAACATTTCTCAGATTGTTCAGTGAGAAGACAAACTGAAAATAGCTCTGCTTACTGCCGCACCACGCGCAGCCCGGACACAAACAGTCCAAACGCAATCACTCCCATATTTCAGGAAATGAATCAGAGCAAAGCGAGAACCCCAAAAGCTGAATATTTCATTTTGACTTTAATCATTCCCATGACACCAAAACCTCTTTTGCAATCCCTGGCAGCAGCGGGCTCCCCTCAGAGAGGCCTTGGTGAGCAATGCGGGGTGGCACGGCTCAGCACCACAACTCCTTGCCAAGTTAGGGATGAACAATTTCTTAATTTTCTCTTCTTTTACTCTGAGAGGAAACTTTTTTTTTTTTTTTTTTTAACTGGGAAAATATTTTTTTAGGACACCATCCAGGAAAGGGAGCATATTTTAATTGGCAAGGTCACCTTTACCCCTGATGGTCCCAACAGGATTTTTTATGAATCTTCCATCAAAAAGACATTTAAACACCTAGGACAAGAGGAATTAAGAACTCCTAATGCCTGCTTTTTAAACCTGCTTGGTACATCACAGCAAAGGCAATCGAGTGCTGGGTAGGCAGTGGTAGAAGCCCAGAAGTGCTGCCTGGAGCTGTGCCGCTCAGCAGAGCCGGCCCTGTGAACAGCTCTTGGTTTAGCACCAGCTGAGGATCCCCCACAACAGCTATGGGACCCCTGGCCCCATAGGCTCATGTTCAGCCTTCAGCAGCACTCTGTGCACCAGCATCTATAGTCATTGAGTTTGTCACAGAGGGTCTACAACCAATATCAATTTGTTGTAGATTCCAGAGCCTAGCTTAATCTAGATTTCTACTGGTGGGAATTGCTCTAGAAACTTCTCTGCTGTAATGCAGTATTTTGCTACTTCTATTTTAATTTCACGTTTGAAAGCATGCATAATATAATTAAGCAGTACTTTTAGTAGAAATACCAAGACTCCTCAATGCAGCTTCACAAACAGGCTTCACCAATTACTTGGGCTTCACTACTTTTCAACACTACATTTCCTGAAAATACTTCAATAAAACATCACAGATAGCTTCTCACCACCAAAACAGTTGTGTACCAAACCTGGAAAGCAGGCTACTATCCTTGTGTGTTTATAACCAGAAACACCAAATAAATTTTAATACACTGAGTACACATTGTTGTTGATCAGCGACAGGTCCCTCTGCAACTAGAAGGACTGTGGTGGTCCAGTTGTGCAGGTCAGAGAATCAAAGAATCCCACAACGGCCTGGGTTGAAAAGGACCACAGTGATCACCTACTTTCAACCCCCTGCTGTGTGCAGGTCGCCAACCACCAGACCAGGCTGCCCAGAGCCACATCCAGCCTGGCCTTGAATGCCTGCAGGGATGGGGCATCCACAGCCTCCTTGGGCAACATGTTCCAATGCCTCACCACCCTCTGTGTGAAAAATTTCCTCCTAACATTTAGCCTAAATCACCCTTGTCTCAGTTTAAAACCATTCTCCCTTGTCCTATCACTATCCACCCTCATAAACATCCATTCCCCCTCCTGTTTATACACTCCCTTCAAGCACTGGAAGGCCACAATGAGGTCTCCCTGGAGCCCTCTCTTCTCCAAGCTGAACAAGCCCAGTTCCCTCAACCTTTCCTCATAGGAGAGGTGCTCCAGCCCTCTGATCGCCTTAAGGTCAGAGCTGTGAACACCACTGCTGCACACAAGTTAAAGATAGAGCTGCCAACACAAGCTAACAGAAGCACACACTGGCACCACAGATTTCTACTGAAGCAAAATCAGCCCAGCTGCAGGGCTGGTGCTCTGTTCCAGCCTCACTGGACATCAGGCCTGCTCCTGCATGGCAGTGAGAACCCCCTCATTGTGAGCACCGTGAACACAGCCTGCAGGCAATGCACTGCTCCCCACCTCACGCTGGAGTTGTGCTTGGTGCTGGTGAGCCACCCCCTAACTACTCCTTTTACTGCTGTGTGTGGTAACACAAACACGATTTAACCACAGCCTGAGGAAAGCTATATATTTTTTTTTAATTTACAAATTAAAATAAATGAAAGCAGAATTTAATGACTCAGCAGCTTGGTGCTTTTCCAAATGTGCACTCAACATACATGTTTGTATATATGAGCAGACACAAACAGGCATACAGCTAAATGTAAGATGACAAAGGCAGCTGTTTCTAATCAGCAGCTTTAACTTCTGGTTTTCCTGTACTGGCCATGCTGAATGGCTCACCCCTAACTCACTGCTTAAAGAAAGTGCAGTGCTACGTGCCATCTTCCTCATTTTCTCCAAGCAATTATAAGAGAGCAGGATGAACACATATTATAATTACTCTTTCCTAGTGGTGTGCAGTTTTCAAAGACAGTTTCCTAGGCCTCAAGCTGTTTACGACAACTGTAAAAACGTTACCAACATGAGTAAGTACCAGCCAACTACAGACAAGGGAAATTAACACCTACTTCGAAACTCAGTCAGACTCTTCCACAACTAGTATTTTACTTTGAGCAGAAGAGTGAGAATGTATTCAATGGAAATTTGTTCCTGCTGAGCATTATGGCAGAAGGTTGCACTGTCTGCCTAGAGGCACCAATCTTCCCTCTGGGTTGTGGCAAGCAGCATTTGACTGCAGGGAATGGACCCATTTTTCCAGTGACCTAAGACAAAACCACCACAAGAGGAGATGATAACTGAGGCTTGTTTACAGTAGCAATAAACACTTTTTAGTGCAGATTTTCGATAAGGAAGTGGAAGAATTTTAAATAGAAGATAACAGACAAAGAAAAAAGTGCTGAGCTGCACAGCTCTCATGAGAAGGACACTGAAAGCAATGAGAACAACTCACCTCTCTGAGGACTGACCTGAGGACTGACCTCTCTCTGAGACTCAAAGGACTGACCCATACAAGGTTTATTCTTTTCTTTTCTAAAATGAAATACCATGGTCTAAACTCAGTACTGACCCTGCTTGTAGAATTCCTGAAGATCCTTCCAGGCTGAAAAGTTTTTATACTTATTCCTGCAGCACTGGTGACACAGGAGTATGTGTGCACCCTAGAAACCTTGAGTAGGAATCTACAACAAACAGCAGTAGAGAAGTGCAAAACATAGTTCTCTTCCCTTTTACATATGCCTAATTCATGACAGAATACTCAGTACAAAAAGCTAGCACTAATGAAACAAGAAGTTTGCAAAATTAGTAAGTGCAGAGTCAGGGAAAACTTGGAGAATCACATAATGCATGCCTTGGAGTACTGTGTGTGATTAATAGTGCTATAAGACATAGCAGACAAAGCAATGCCATTTGTAGATATTTTCAAGACTTTTTTCCTGATCTACTTCATACTGTCTTCAATTTAAATTGCAGAGCATTAATTAATACTCATTATAGTATTCTCACTGTATTAGTCACCCTTTGCTGAATCTTATTTTAATTCAGTAGTGCAAAAATGTGGAGGTACTAATAGAAGAAAATACTACTACAACACTATCTAATACAGCTTCAAAAGTATGGCTTATTTATTCTTCTGACCCTCAGCACATTTTAAATTATATTAGTTTATACATTTTAAAAATAATTTATTTCACTGTTTCTGAATCTATGATTGCAAAATGAGAGATAAATAGATATCTCATTCATCATTATATAAGTGCCTAAGGAGAACGTGCGCTCTGAATCTTTTCACAGTGTGACAGAACACCAGAGGAAGAGCTCTTCTCTTCAGGTTGTGCAATTCCCCCTCATCCAATAAGCAGCCAGTCAACAGATTTTGGAGTCAGATGTGTTTGACCAGCTCAGAAAGCAATTACGCAGAAGCATCTAAAGTGACACAGCCTCAACCATGTCTCAGTTCAGAAGGACAGACTGCGGAGACTGGAGAGCAGTGTCTGTATTTCTCACATTTCCTGAACCTCCAGGTGGGAACTGAGGAAGCAAATTCCTCCACACTGTAAGGGCAGACAAATCTGAGACAGCCTCATTTAAGACTGAATGTGT